CCCCCCCCCAGGCGGCTCTGCCACGCCCGGTCTGAGCCCATCCCCCTCCACTGTGCCCTCTCACTCCGATGCTCCCCACAAATGTGAGCCCCCAGAGTTGCGGGTCCAGGGGGAGGGTGGCAGCCGCAATCCGGGCCCACGCCCCCAGGCCCTCCACTGAAAAGGATGGGTTCTGTTCCAGGAAAGAGGGAGGAGAGGGGAGCAGCCCCGGGCACACGGAAGAAGCAGGTTGCCACAGGCCCGGGAGTGAGGGTGGGGAAGGGGACATCGCCGCTCACCTGTCCAGCCGGCTCCCCTAGACTTCTCCTGGCATACCACAACTGTTGCTCCTCTCTGGCACCCTCTGGCTCTCCTGCCCTCTACACCCCTACCTGGGATTGCCCCCAAAGGCTACTTTCTGCTAGCCCTTTATCCTATTCCGCAGGACACTCCCCGGGACTCCTGGTCTGGCAAGCCTGGACTCACTGCCCCAGACTCAGCGGTGCCCCGGACCAGCCTCCCTCACACGCAGTCAGCTCATCCCGGGCCGAGGACGGTCTGCTCCCGGGCAACGATAAGGACCCGAAAGGCATCGTACAGGTGGGCAGTGGGGAAGAGGAGAGGGCCACAGGGGAAAGCAGCCGCTCCCAACGAAAGAAGACTTAGAGAAGGTGGACACAAGGAGGCCGAGTAAACAAATCAAGGGAGAGAAAGAAAGAAGTGTGGGGTGGAGGGCGGGCAGAGATGAGGGAAATCAAGAGCTTGCGGTGGGAGGTGTTCTGCCCTCACTCATATCCACTGTGGGCCCCCTTCCCTCTCCACAAGCACCCCCCTCCCACCTGCCTAGCACCTAGGCAATGTCCCCACGCCAGGAAAGGGTCTCTCACTCCACGGTACGGTAAGTATAAACTCACAGCCTATGTGGAGCCCCAGACTAGTCTCAAACACCAAGTTCCAAACCAGGAAGAGGCTGGCCCACAGGAGAAGCCAAGACACACATGGGCGCGAACAACCACCTCCGGTCAATAGGCAAGTCCAAGGACTGCTGAGGGACTGGCTAAAGATGACCCCGAGATCGCTCCGAGAAATCTCTCTGCCAGTCATTCCCTCCCACCAAAGCCCCGGGTGGCTCCTGAGCCCTTACCCCTCCGCCGACAGCCGTAGGGGAATCTGGGCCCCCGAGAGGCTGGACTGGGGGTGGAGCCACTCCGGGGGTGGGCCCAAAGCTTCCCCAGTATCCTCACCTGGGCGGACACTCGTCCCGCCTTCCTGGGCGGTGCTGGGTGTGAGCCTCGGGCTGCCAGCCAGACCCTGAGGCTAGCCGACGCCTTCCGAGTGGTGCTGAAGTCCCTCACACCCCAGTGGGACATTCCATAGAGCAGGCCCGCGACAGCCCCGTCCAGGTGGCTTGGCGGCGCTAGCCAGTGGGGTTTACTCGGGAGAGCGGCGCTAGCCAGTGGGGTTTACTCGGGAGACCAGAAGAAGCCACCACGTCTCCAACTCTTGCCCCCTCTGCTGCTGCCTCCCTTGGGAGAAATTCCTGGGTGGTGGTGCCCACCTCACCCCAGCCCCGGGTGGGAGGAGTAGGAGGTATGCTGGGCTGGGGCCCAGTGGAGTCAAGTGACAGCGGAAAGGAGGCTGGAGCCGGCTGGAATGCGGGACTCGGAGCCGAGATTCCCAGGAGCCTGGGAAGAAAATCCCAGCCACGCAGGGGCCCCGGCGCAGCGTCCAAGACCGAACGCGCCCACCCGCCCATCCGTGCCTGCCCCCTCCCAGCTCGTCTCGCATCCCTTACGTCATTCCCGAACCCCTAAAGGATCCTCTGCCCTCCCCCCCGCCCAGGGCTCCCTGCCCTTTCACGCCAAGGCCCCCTCTGGCTGCCCAGGAGAGGTGGGGACAAGGCTGAGAAAGTGGGCGGAGAGGCACGTGGGAGAGAAGCGCTTCTGGCCCGCAGACCGCTCAGCCACTGCGGGGGACCCAGGCGCCCCGGCGTGAGGGAGGGTCGACCAGATGACCCTCCCCCGCACACCCTCCGCACTAGCTGGAGCCCCTTCCCTGAGGCTCAGCTGCCTGGGGGGTAAGCAGTGGCCAGAGGCTGGAAAGACTGAGAAACCGGTTGGTGGGCTGGCGGTCCGACTAAGCTCCAGTCACACTGACAGCATTGAGCACAAAAGGGAAACTGAGATCCGGAAGGTGGAGTTGGGCGGGGGGGGG